TTGCAGTCCTTAAAATTCTGCCTAAAAATACCCCTTGTTTTCCTAAAAACAATTTTTCTCTTCAAGTTTCTCAATTTCAAGGCTCTTAGTGGCATTGGTCCATAACAACTTTCCTGACCTCACTCATCATGATTTGCCAATATATATAGATATAACAGGTGTGTGTTTCCTTTCTGGCTGTGGAAATCAACTCTGCTCACTACTGTATGTTTCAGGAATATGCCATCCTTACAAAGAAATGTTTTGATTTGGTATTTTCCTACCTTCTTTAGAAGACTCTGAATTTTAGATGTGAATAGGAGACCTTAAAAGTCATAAATTTAAAACAGGAACTGAAACGAATCTCAACAGAACTGTTTCTTGAGGAGTTTGAGAGCAACGAAGGAAATTCGTTTCTGAGAGGTCTAGCTTCAACTGTAGAAGACAGACCAAATTCACCTGGCTGTCAGTATACGGCTGTGCTTCAGGGACAGTATAATGAAATTAGTTACCACTTCATGGAACTATAGAAGTATAAACATTAGCACTTGTGGAGAATTGAGGCTGCTCTGATCCTCTAACTTGATCATGGTTCTTTCAAGTAATTCCATTGAGTTACTCAATTTACTTTCACGGATCCTTCTGTATTGTATGAAAGACAGAAAGGAGAAAAAAATAAAACAAAAATCTGAACTTTGATTGGATTTCCACCCCCAAAAAAAGTGGTATAGAGGGGTAGTTTTCTACGTAAAACTAGATATAGTGTTAAAGGAAGAGTTTATTACAAAGATATAGTCTAAGAAAATTAGAAATGATACTACTACTGATTGTATATCATTTACTTGAAAGAATTCTGCTGTTGGGCATTCAGTGGGGACCATACTAATTAATAAGATGAGTAAGAAAAAGAACCACTTTGTTTACTTTTTTCTCAGTCTCATTAGAGTCAGTAAGTTAACCCTTTTTAGCTCTGCAGGAAGGAACCACAGGTGGTTTCCCCTTCCTTCTCAGGGCCTTTATTCTCAGACACTGGGACTACCACCCAGCAAAGATAGAAACTCAGAAGTCATCTTGGAACCTTCCTTCAGCCACAACTAATCAATGTAACAAGCTCCTATTTAATTTGCTGTTAGTACTTTTGCCTTAGCCCAGGTTCTTATAAATTCTCCAGGCCTCTGATGTAATCATTTGGCTTCCAGTTATACCACCTTACTCATTCCAGACACTGAAACCAGATCAATTACACAATCTTTGAATCTGGTGGTTACCTCATGGCAAATGTAACTTTAGTTTCACCCCTCAGTTTCAGGATAATGATCAAATGCCTCACCTTAGTAGACAAGGCCTTATATGATTTAACACTGCTATTTTCTGTACCTTTATTTTTTCTATCTTAATATTCAATCCTTTCAGCCCAGATTAACTGTGCTTTTCTCTGTCATGGAGCATTTACCACAGAGAACCAGTATTGGACCTAAATCAAGACTCAAAACCTTTATTTTAAAAACAGCTCCAAGTTATAGAAAGCCAACATAACTTACCCAAGGTCACAGAACTTATTAGGAACAATGGAATTAGGAACCAGTGTTTAGAACTACTTTCTGAAATATAATTTCTTTATTCTATTTCTGATATTGCTTAAAGTGGGCAAAGTTAGACACCATTCTCTTAACGTAATACTGGTCATCCATCTTTGCTAACAAACTAACTTGCATGTGTCTATCCAAAGTCTTCTATATACACAGAGCCTCCCTTTTCCCCAATGCAACCCATTTTCCAGAAGCCTTCCCTTTAGAAAGCCTGCCAAGACTTCACTACTAAGAAAGCTCACTGTCCTAAAAATAATCTCCAAATTCAACACAAGTTACCAAAATAAAGTCTCCCAAATAAAACAATGGCAGAGACAGACCTGATAATGAATATGAAATATGCTAAGAACATTCTGCCACTGAAGCAAACTTGAATTTTTTGTGATTAATGGTAAGATGAAATCTTGAACCATGTAAGAATGTAGCAAATTATAACAGAGCAGAAACAGTTTGGAAAACGTCCCACTTGAAATTTATCCGTATGAAAACAGCCTCTGTCTCCTGGCTATCATCACCATGTGCCTGTCCAGAAATTCATTTTCAAGTGTTATTTCCAAATGTGGCCCCAAATTCAAAATTCAAGTTGGTTGGCATGTATAAAATTTGCTGTGGGCTGGACCAAACAACAAATGAGATGTTTTTAGAAGAAATAATCAGTACATTGCAATGCTTACTGGGTTGAATTCATGTTTTACAGACTGGCCTTGACTTTCGGATTCTTTACTATTCTTTTTCTATTTAGGAAATGGGAAACATGGGCAATTAGATTATGAAGCCACTTCTAACTGTTAATATGGTTCCAAAGTAAGTTAGCTGAGAAACACACATTTTCAACGAAAAGGATGGGAGGGAGATTGGCTTGAGTCCAATCTGTCAGAAATGGTGAGTAATTTGCATTAGCTAAATCTAATCAGGCCATCCTGCCCTACACTGCATTTACTGACAAGTCAGGGCAGTAAAGAAGGCATATCACATCACAATAGTTGCAAAAAGAACAAAAATTACTTGTTGAATAGCAGAATTGGCTTTATTAGCTAAAATTTCAATAGACTCTGGATGCCCAGAGAACCCATCCATCAAATTAACATGGTGGTGCTGGTATGGTAGAAGGAGGGTGACAGTCTGAGAGGGGAGAATGACAGGGAGCAGAAAGTAAGGAATAAACAGTAAGAATAACTGTTATTAAATATTTAATGTTTAGACTAAGCCAGGAAGAACATTTGCCAAAAGATGTAAATTATTCCTCAGGAAATCCTATTTCATTTGAAAGTTAAATGCAGCACAAGAATGCATAGACACTAAGCAAAGCAAAAACAGGATAGCAACAATCCAGAGGGAAAACACAGCCTTTGTATTCATGTGGAAAATACAACTGCTCATATTCAAAATAGCTTTTATTCCTTCCTAAGTATTGCTGAAGGAATTTGGCATCACCTTATTTTCCTTATAAGAGTTTGAAATGTGCTCATCTGAAGTCTCACAGGTTAGCTATGATCTTTCCAACACACATGTCATTTGGAAAGAAACTTCTCTAGCAAAATGCATCCTATCCTTCAGATATTGAAAATATTGGAAAGACACTCACTTTATTAGATGAATTGTTGCCAAGTACCATGTCAATAAGGGATCAAAGGATGGAGCTGTTTGTCAATGAAAGCATTGGCATAGCGCTGATAATGTCTCCTTGCATATAGTACATATTTTTTTCAGTTAAAATGAGTGTTCTAAAAATAAGTGAAACTACTTCACATCAGTATTTCTCTACTGGTTTTGTGACTAATAAATAATATTTTCCATTAAAAACTATAATATTAATTCATAAGATATTAAGTGTTCAATAGTAATATATATATGAATATATAGTCATGAAGAGTTAAAGATCATTATTTGGGGGGAAGCCAATGAATGACTTCAGCTAAAAAAATATTTTTCACTGCACACGAAATTATTGGAATCTACCTTCATATTTAGGTTTGCCAAAACATTCTTTGTCCCAGATTCTTGATCCACTAGTGATTCTGGAGGGAAATTTACATTCATTTCTTAATTCTCTGGCCTCATTCTTTTTCATGCCCTATCACACATGTTCCAATACAGCAAAAGCATGCATAATAATAGGAAGCTTCTCTCTCTCCCCACACCCAAACCTGCTTTTCCTCCTAAATATTCCTTTTGGAAAGCAAGCCATCACCATGACAACCCTAAGATGGGGGTTGGAACAGCACTTAGGGGCAGCTTTTGTGAAAGTTAATATCGGTTTGTGTTTAACAGGGTCAGAAAAACTCAGACAATGAGTAGCACTCTGTCTTGAGGAGCCACTTAGCTACATGAAATTAATTGTCCACATCAAACTTAACCTAACCAGAATACAGCCTCAGAAAATAATTCTGCAAGTGTGGTTTATTCAGGGCTAATTTATTAATTATTGATAATAATCTGTTAATCTGTTGTAGTCAATTCACTTAATATCTACTTAAATCAGAAGACCAAATATAATGTGAAAAAGAGAATTAAGAACTTTGCCTTGCTTTTTTAACTTTAAATAGGTGTAGAACATTCAGAGATAAGCACTTTCCCAAAAAAAAGGGTTAGCCTATTCTCTTTTCTAGGCAAAAATATATCTTTTCTGCCCCCTTAGCATTTTATTTGTATTTCCTTCCTATTCAACAGATCCTAAGGATGGATTGTCATGGAGTTGTGGGGACCTTTTTCAGTATCTTTAATATATCTGCTTCTTGAAAGAGGAGCTCTGTGGACACAAGGTGGCAATTCCAGCTCAGGTGTAGTAGGGATCTTTTGTGTGACTCAGAGATAGAGCTTTCATTCAATGTATGTCAAACCATACTTTCCCACTACTGACTTCACTTGCGAGATAGAAATTACCATGCTTTAAAACAAAACAAAACAAAACAGGGACACCAAAAAAGTCACTATGGGATAAGGTTCATTCTTTCTTTGTCTTTACCTGACTAGACCACCTCACAATGGAGCTTTTAAAATAATGAGGAGAATCCTTTGTTCTCTCAGGCTCCATTTAAGGGAAAGTAGGTCGAGGGCTTCCCCAGGGAGGGAAAAAAAGCTCAAGAGCCAAGCACAGGGGAGTAAGAGATTTCACGCCCACTAATATATTCCCACCCTCCCAAAGAAGTTAATTAATTCTGTTTGGAGGATGGTTGAGAAAAGTGGGGGTACACTCAGGTAGCCCCATCTCTGAGACCATCATCTCATTTTCAAGTGTGGTTCACTCTATCCTCTGGGTGGGGTGGGGGTTGAAGGGTGCTGAGAAGGGGTGCTGTCTCCATCCATGGGCAACAGAGACAGAAACGCATGCATTTGTACTCCCCAGAACGTGCGTCCCAGCCCAAGTGAGAAGTTGGGTATTTAGACCTGAAAAGCATAACAAGAGCCATTCAAAGCAGCAAGTTACAGTACCTTAAGAAGTCTGACTGATGGGAGAAAGGCTGCGTGGCACAGCTTCCGGATGGTCCAGTTTAGGGGTCGAGAAGCATCAGTTTGATTCATGACCCCTTCCAAATTCCACTGGGAAAACAAGAAACTGCAAACCTAGAAAATAAACAGTCCCCCACGGCCCTGGCATCCCATGGTCATCTCCACACCTGCAAATTCCATCAGGGCAGAGGCTTCCTGGAACTTGAGAGACTGGTCAAGTGGCGATGCCTGAGTCCCTGAACCTTCTTAAGAAAGCCACCTCCCCTCTCCCTGCAGCCGTGCTCATGCATACCAAATGTGGCTGAATGGAGGCACACTGCCTGCTGCTTCGGGGAGGGGATGCTAGGTTTTGAAGGAAAGGGACAGCCTGCACAAAACAGCCTGTGGTCGGAATCAGAGCAGCCTGCTCCGGAATGCGCGCTCCCTCTCCCGCTCTCCTCCCAGCAAACGCAGGTCAGGCGTTGTGGGGGAACCCGGGCCATTTGCTTTGCTAGCTTATTTGGTAGGGGGAGAGCCAAGAGGAGAGCAAAAAGAGAACAAAAATCAAGCCAGAATGGGAACTTGCACTTTCTTGCACAAAGCATCTTTGAGGGGCTGGAAACTGGCACAGGGGGAGGGGCTAGGACACAGAGGGAGAAGGGGATGCCTCTGAATGATAAGATAAATGCTTCCTTTTTGATTTATGTGACATAATAAGTTGAGAGATATCATAAAATGGATCTATAGTAAGAGAGATTTCGGTCATGTTCTGGGGCTTTTATTAACTGTGATTGACAGTCCTCATCCTGATACATGCATTATATAGATGATGGATAGGAACACTGGCAAACAGAATCAAACTCACACATACACACAGGGAACACTGAGTTATTCCTTTCATAGAAAGCTGTGTGAAGGAATGCATATGTGGCTTACATTTTACAGATGACAGTTTCTAAATTGGGGGTTATTTCCCCCTGGAAAGCTACTTGATACCCTTTCTCTGAAATGAAAGTTTAACCCTTAAGGTGCCACGTGGGATGCTGTCTTCAAAAAATGGAGTTTACTTAAGTGGGGATTCCAACTCCTCCCACCTCAGTCATTTTCTAAGGAGGCTTTCAGAAAGAGTAGCTGCATTGGAAGGAATAGTTTTTAAGGCTCTTGTGGTGAGAGAGAATAAAGGTGAACTTTCCAATTTGAAGGTAGAAATTGGACAATTTCATTTAGAGAAGGGAAGTTAGGGATGGTTCAGAGGAGTGGGAGTTCGTGTCACAAACCCCATTCAGACTACCCACCTTCCCCAAGCCTTAGACCTCAGTGAGAGCAGTCGACCAAAGGAGTCTACTCAGGAAAATTCCCATGTCCTCAGCGCACTGCCATGAGACTTACGTTTCCACTTATCTCCCTGTGACTTCATGGATTTTCCATTTCTAATTAACTGGAAAAAATGGGACAATCCCTGGTCCATTACTACTGTGTTTTCTGAGGCAGGATAGGGAGGGGTTAGAGCAGATGTGATACACTGCTGTAATTCAGAATTGAGGATGGTCCAGATCCTCCCTAGATGGAATCAATACCTGACCTGACACCCTGCATGACAGCAATGCTCCTGAGTCATAATTGAAGAACATAGCAGAAAGGCTAGTCCATTGGTGGAACACAGACAGCATCTTGCACATAAAATCTATGTATCTAATTATTTCCTATTACAGCAATACCACTTTAATAGAACTCACACACAGTTGGCTCATTTTCTGTTATCATTCTATTTCCACAAAGGGTTGAAGGCAGTTTTAAAATATTAACAGCAAGCATGAATGTGTCAGATGTGGTGGTGAGCATCATAAATGCATTCCGTAAACTCTTATCAATGACAACCCTACATAACAGATGCTATCGTCACATCCCTATTTCATGGATTAAGCAAGTGAGGCCTGAGAAATTAGTAATAAGTCTAAGATAACTAGTAAAATTAGAGGCTGGAGTAAAGCCAGCTTACTATGCTGTCAAGATGAGTTCTCTCTTCTATTTCTTTCATAATTAGTAGATCACAACAATAATTGCTTCAGTTTTCTGGTCTTATATAAGAGTGAGCCAAAATACTGAAGACATGCTCAGCATGTCTTTCAGATTATCACTATGGCATGACATTGAGGTAGAGATTAACAGCATGGATTTTGAGATCAGGCTGCGTGGTTTAAATTCTGATTCTCCCTGGCCTTGAGCAATTTGCTCATTTTTCCTGTGCCTTGGAGTCTTTTATCTATAAAAAGGATATGAGCATAAAACCATATACCTAGGGTTCTTAGGAGGACCAAATGGGCTACCACCAATGAAGCACTTAGATAGTGCCTGGCATCTTCTAAGTCCCCTCTACTATGACTCATCTTCTGGTCAGCAAGTGTTGATTTGGGGTGAGTAGCACTAATATTTTCCATTAAGAATGCACAGTAACAATAAAAATAAATAAATAAAAAGAATGCATAGTGTGCAGACTTATAATACTAGATAATGAAATCAAGCAAGACAGACAAATTAAACCTGAATGCTTCTTATGAAACACCATGACTTTTAAAAATGAGTAAAAAAAGAAGTTAGAAGACTGAAGAGGCAGTAGGGGTTTCCTCCAGCTTTAGTGCAGTGTTATTCATCAGATCGCAAGATAGCTCTCTAGTGTGGCTGTAAGGTTCCAGCCTTTCTAGGCTGTTGAATCCCTTTAAGTGGTTCTTTGTGGTTAGGAGAAGTCTGTTCCATGAAAAGGCAGGAACACTAGCCCATCCCTGCTCTTCACTGTTCTAAAATGTTAAGAACCCCACACAAATGACACCAATCTTCTGAACCCACAAAGCCTTTGATACTGCTATCCCCTTTAATTTTTAAGAATAACTTTGGTCAAAGAAAATAGCAACTATGGGGAACTAGGAAGTGGATGGATTCACAGCCTCTCTAATAACAATTAGAGGAGGGAAGCACAAAACCTCCAGGGAATGGATTTGGAGACTACACAGCAGAAGAGATGAAGATCAAGAAGATGCCGGTAAATGAGAAGAGGCTCTTGTCGCATCATTGGGATAATGTGGGCTAGAATTGTTTGCTATCAAAATATGTAAAGTGGGGTATTCAGGACTCCCTTTCTCACTTTGAAGGAATAATTTTCACAGGGAATGATGACTTCCCTAGTTTTACAGGGGAAACCTAAGAAAGAAAAAGCAGAAAGAAGCAAGCCAGGCCCCAGAAGTTAGCAAATCCACAATGCTGGTTTTTAAATTTATAATGTAGATGTTTACAAATCGGCAAAATAAATAAACACTAGCAGGCTTAAAACTCTGACATAGTCATATTACTTTTCAGTATCCTAAAAACAATTAGGCGTATCAAATTTCTGCACTCCAAAGTGTACCTTTCAACAAACCCCAACTTCCTCCCATGCTATACAAAGCCCCCTTCCTATTGATTGTCCTCCCACTCTAATCTCCTCAAAATGATGCTAAATTTAAGAATCCTGGCAAGTCTGTATGCTGACAATGAGCCACAGCTATAGATATTCTACATTTCTTCCTTCAAAAGTCCAAGTTCCCTCACTTTTGGAAAATCATGACACCCTGACATAGCATTATATTACTTTGCTCAGTCTTAATATTCCTTAGATCTTAAAAAAAGAGCTACTGATGAAACGCCAGGAAAACAAGAAGTAAAAGGCACAGTTACCAGGTTGTTCATAGTATTCAAAGTCCAATGGTATTAGACCATTGAAATTTTTAGGTATCTGGACTGAATCAAACATATATTTTCAGACCGTAATATACGAATGTAGCTTACATAGTACAGATGACAGTCAAGCGCTCAAAGAAAATACTGGGAACCAGCCGATGGTAAGTCTTCATTTGCCCCAATGTAATATGATCTTAACATCCTGCTTGCTCTATGGTTGGCCTAAGTTAATAGCAATGTTGTGCTTTGCTAGTTTATTATTTTTGTCAGAAAATCATTTGTGTTGTGAGCTTTATGACAATTGATCATTTTTGTCAAAAACATGCTTTTCTGTTTCTCCTTTTTTTAACTTCACTAAAAGTTATAATTTTTAAATAATTTTCTGAAGCTTTTACAATATTTTCCAAAATATTACATCCCTTTCTATATTACACTGTCCTATAGAACTGTTCTTAGTTATTTCCAAATGCATTTTCTTCAAATAGATTCAACAATTTTTTCCATTTAAAGTTATTTCCTTCTTTGGGCATCCTTTATAGATCTGAAATAGATTAAAACATATTAAAATACATTTCTCACTTTGTTAATTAGCCTAAGCAGCATTTATTTCCTGTAAAATAGAGATCTAAGAATTAGAATGACGATGGCCTCCATTCTCCTTCAACATTGGGATCACTTTCTGGCATCCCTGACTGCCATCCACCTCTGCATGGATGCCTGTAGTGACAGGGAGAGGTGAGGTGTTTGAGACAGTTCATTCCATGGTTGGACAGCTCTAGCTGACAAAAAGTTCTTTCTAAGCTGAGGTGAAATGTGCTTCCCTTTAACCTTCAAGTCAAGCTTTCTTTCTGAGAACAGTTCTCCAAATACATCAAGATAGCTAACAAGCTCTACTCAAACCTCTTCTTCTCCATAGTGGATATCTTGGACCATTCATCCTTCAAGTGATGAGATGTAGGTTTTAGTAGAAAACCCTCTTGAGAGTTATAGGGATAAAGACTCTTTGGGGATGTATTCAGTATTATAAGCAAACTTTAAATAAAATAATGTCTAAGTCCTTTTAAGTTCCTTGGATTATTTCTCCTAAACGTCTTTTAGGGAGCTTTGAGGGGAAATTCACTAATAATTTAGTGTCTTTAAAATGTTCCTTCATACCTCAGCATTATAAAAGCTATATATGACAAACCTACAGCCAGCATTATACTTAATGATGAAAAACTGAAACCATTCCCTCTAAAATCAGGAACGAAACAAGGATGCCCACAATCCCCACTCTTATGCAACATAGTACTGGAATTCCTAGCCAGAGCAATTAGGCAAGAAGAAGGAATAAAAGGAATACAAATAGGTAAAGAAACTGTCAAAAATATTCCTATTTGCAGACGATATGATCCTATACCTTAAAGACCCAAAAAACTCTACTGAAAAGCTCCTAGACACCATCAATAGCTATAGCAAGGTAGCAGGACATAAAATCAACCTAGAAAAATCACTAGCATTTCTATACACTAATAATGAAGAAACTGAGAAAGAATATATGAAAATAATTCCATTTACA